AAGGTTATCTTGGGCATCCACTGCATAGGTTGGACCTGCCCAGGCGATTGCTGCAGTGGCTGCATAACCACTGACACAGGTTGCTGCGTGCTAACCTGAGCCTTTCCAGACAATGACACTGTAGTTGCCACTGTCCTCGATGGTACAGAAGAAGAGATAAAAACCGGACCACTAACTACTGATTGATTACTTGAAAGAGGAATGTCATACATAGGTGCGAAGGAGGGCCCTACAGGCGACGACGTCACTGAGGGACCCGCGACCGAAGGGGGAGCAACAACATAATGAGGTTGTCTCATTATCATAGGACGAGGAGCCGGCAGTGCAGCCATAATTTGTTTCTGGCCTGCCACGAGTTCAGTCAGCACTTCCTGTTGAACCACTTGCATTTTCGCTATGCAGAGCAGCGAGTTACACAGAGCTTGCATAGCAGAATCAAGTGTTGACTCATCTAATGCTTCTAATTTGCTTAGCTCATGTCTCCTACTCCCTAATGTAGCTTTTCTAAGAATAGCCCTTTGCCTTCTCTCTGCTGCCTCTCAGTTGCTTCTGCAACTCATTATGCAGTTCTTCTACCTAGAGGATCTCATAATCCTCTGCTAAGAGTTGAGGTTGTTGGCTGACTTGCAAGCCAACAGATTGACAAACCATACCTTGGGTACCCTGACTCGTTCCTGACGAAGAGGCTTGAGACACGGCCTGTGACACTGTGGAAGTAGCCATGGTTGTGTATGTGCTGACCTCGGTCCTAGGCCTAGCACTAGCTGCAGCTGCTCTTGCTCTCCACAATATCTCCCTTGCCCTGGCTTCCCTTCGCAACCTCCTTTCGTCTCTCGGACCTAGCTCCTGGAAGGTGAGTGGATGACTGAGAGCAGTTCTACGAGTTACCGTGAGGTCTTCGACTAGTTCCGCCTCCTCCTCAATATTGACAGCTTCACTCATGAGCTACAGTGTGTGTAGTCTAAACTAGAACCCACACTGGATCCTACCTCAGCATAACACAACCATAATTGCGGCGCACGTGTGTCGTGAGCCGTGCGCTGTGCGCTGTGCGTACGCCTGTCTCTTATACACATCTAGATGTGTATAAGAGACAGCTGTCCCCCTTCCCCTCTTCTCCTCCTCCTTCCCCGCCTTGGATGATGGCTTACCTTCAAAAAGGATGTCTCTCCCTCTCTCTCTCACTCCCCTCCCT